CCCCAATGTCCACTCCATGTGTAGCCAAGGAAGATAAGAGTGAAGGAAAAATTTTCCAAGGGTAGAGCAGGGCCCTGGGGACAGCAGACTGGCCCGGCCTGTCCAGTGAGCAGGAGTGAGACTCTTCAAGGACTCTTCTCACTTTAGGGCAGGGGCAATATTTGCCCAGCAGGATTTCAGGATAGCTGTGGGTGCTGCCTGCTGGGTGTTACCCATTTGTCTCCTTTCTGAATTGGGCTGTTTACTGTGCTATTCTGTCCCTTTGCACCACTATGCATTGGGTGTGTATATGGGGCGTGGGGTACAATTTCTCTTTAGGTCAGAGGTCTCTAGACCAAGAGGAACTATGTGGGCCACATGAGCCACATGAAAAAACTACTGAGCCTCCCACAGGGGTCCTGGGCTTTGAGGTGGACATTACAGAATATCCCTGGACTCAAATTCCTGTAATCCTGTTTCTGGCCTTTAGACCTAAATTAAAAAGGCATCTAAGATTGGGTCAGGCCCACCTCGGGAGGGTGAAAATGTATTTAGTGTGTGGGAAAGAGTTGCCCTGGGTCCATGCTCTCTCTTGCCCTCTACCATGGTGATGAGCACATTCTAGACAGTGGCTGCCCCATCAACCTGGTGCTCCCAGGCGCCTCACTATGGACATGTAGCATGGCCAGAAATAAATCTTTGGGGTTTGCAGTGTGGCCTAGCCCCTCCTGAGTGATGCAGGGACTCTAGCCATCCTACCTCTTGAAGAAGTGTCTCCAGAACTACTGACCTGCTCCAGCCAGGGCTGTGGCCCCTCTGCACCCGGCACAGCAGCTCTCACCTGGGACTCCCTCTCCCCTCCATCCTGTGTTGAATGCCTGGCTTTCTGGATCACGTCTCCTGCTTTCTTGCTTTACTTCTTTATTTTAGTGAAGCATGATCTCTGGTAGCTTCCTACCATGAGAAAGGATGCATGGGAGGTAAATTTTTGAAACCTCATGCATCTAAAAATACTTGGTTTATAGTTCGGCTGGGTAAAGGCTGGAAAGTAATTTTCCCTTAGATTTCCAAGGCTCTGATCCTTTCCTTCTAACTTCTATTGGTTCTGTGTAGAAGCCCATGGCCATTCTGCCTCCTGATTGTCTGTATGTGACCTGCTTTTAATGTCAGGACACTTTTGTCCCAGTATTCTGAAACTCAACAGTCATATGTCTTCATGTACGGCTATTTTTTCCCATTGTGCTGGGCTCTCTGTGGGCCCTTTCAACAAATGTCTTGAAAACGTCCTTACTAATTCATTGGTGATTTTCTCTCCTGTGTTTTCTCTGATCATTCTATTGGGGTTCCTATAAATTGCTTGCTAAATTTTATGGTCAGTGCACTAATTGGTTTTTAACTTTTTTCTCCTATTTCCCATTTTTTTGTTGTTGTTCTTTTTGGTCTACTTTCATGAAGGTTTTCTCAACATTCTCTTCCAATCCTTCTATTAAAGGTTTTTTCTCTTACATTTCTGCTATCTTCTTTTAAATCTCCCAAGAAGCATTTTTCCTAAATGCTTCTTTATGTATGTTCTCTCTTCATGGGTTGTGATACCTTTTTAATTTCTCTAATGACATTATTGATAGTTTTGTTGAAGTGTACCTCTCTGTGAATAGTCTCTGTTTCTTCCAACTTGCTTTTTAAAAATCTATTGTGGCTTTGTATTTCATGACACAGGCTTTCCTTAGATGCCAGGTCAGCTCTGGCTGCCTGCTTGTATTTGCCTGGGAGGGACTAAGAGACTGATTAGAAGTTCCGTGCACATGAGTGGCAGCGTTAACTGCGGCTTTCCCTGTGGGGTGAGCTGGCTGTTTAGCCGGGCACCACAGATGTCCGAATGTTTAGGTGCTTCCCCCGGAAAGACCCTGCCAGTCTCCTGGATGCCTGCATTCTGAAATCCCAGAAAGGGGCTTTTGGGTCTCAGCTTCCAATATCCACACATGCTTTTAATCCTCCTGATCCTATCGCAGTACCTCTACCCTTAATCATGCCTGGGGCCTCCCAGCGCAAGGTGCTCCTTTTTACTTTCTTCAGATAATAAACATCTTCAGATAATAAACATGCAGTCTTGTGTCAGGATGAAGGAGGGGCAGCTGTGGGGATGCACAGAACTGGGGAGGGAATCTGGGCATCTGAGAGCTCCTTAGACAGGCTTTTAGCCAGTCCTTCTTGTTTTAGACCTTCACCCTCAAGACCAGAGGTGCCTGGTGCCCCCCATTCTTGAGTTTTCTGGGGGTCCCACAGGGTTTATTTTCAGCTTTCCTTCCTGGCTACTATCTCAGGATTTCATTTTCTTGGGTTTGGTAAGTATTTGAGCTTCAACAATTGTGTTGCTCTTACTGCCTCTCTTGCTCTCCCTGTCCTTGTGGATTTCTGCTTTATAACAACTGTTTCAGAGGCTCCAGAAGGAAGCTGAAGTCAACATATACTGTCCCTCCGCCACCTTTACCCAGAACCTCAACCTCTCCAGCTTTGAATCTCTTTATTCCCCAGACATATCTCAGTACACTTGCTCTTGCCTGATCGCTCTGCTTTTTTGTTCCTTCCATCGAAAGGAGATGCCCCATCCTCACATGTACATAAGCCATCGCTGTCAAATCATGCTTAGCAAGGAAAACATCAACCCACAGTTATGGTGAGATTTCCTCTGGGGAAGAGAGCTGTATCTCTCTGGAAGATACCTCCACATGGGCTTCAGATAAAGGCTGTCCGGCCTGAGGTTCCAGTCAGCAAATTCCACAACAATCAACAATACTCGATAGATTACAGAGAAACCAGCCAAGGGACTGAGTTTTGTATCCAGAATGCCAGGGGCCACAGCTGAAACCCTCTGGGAGGCCACATTCATGGAGAACTCTTTTGCACAGGGGTGTGCTAGTGCGAAGGACCCTTGACCCAGGCTGGCTTCCCCTCATGAACATAGGGTTGTTTTGTTCATGGCCATAGGAGCCCAATGTCTAGAATAGTGTATACTCATAGGAGGCCCCCCATTGTGTATACAGACTGGGGGGTACCCGGTAGGGTTCAAGGAGGTGGAGAGGCGCTGCATCTTGAAGACTGGGCAGAATTTTGCTGGCTGGAGAGGAGCTGGAAGGGTATGGGTGGCTGGTAAATCAGCTTAGGGCCAGCTCCCTTCTTAATGAAGAAGTGACTGATGGTGACATGTGGTAGGAACGGAGGAACATTCTGAATCATTACTTGGTCAGGACACAAATCTCTTAAATGTCATCAACACAATCTGCCTGAGAGAAAAACCATTACTTTCTGCCAAACACAGACCCTCCTGGAGAAACCTGACCCAGCACCTCGGGAGTCTCCCCAGAGGGCAGCAACTCCGTCAGCCAGAGGGAATTTCAGGGTTTTAGTTACAGACACCCAGAGTGCTCAAACGTCCATGCAAGGTTATGATCACCATGACATGCAACCCAGAACGGTTGTCTCAGTTCCTCCTTGGTTTCTTGAAAAGTGAAGTCTTTTCTGCCTGGGCCCCTGTAAGCAGAATGATTCTCCCCCGCACCCTCATTTGGGGTTCAGTGCCTGGGCCACCTCCATCCTCCTTGCTCATCTGAGGATTCAGCACGGTGGCTGACTCCTTGGAATGGCCAATAAGCACAATGAACCAGGGGCTGCCAGCCAGGGTCTGGAAACGGTGAGGCAAAAAGGGGTTTACTGAGCTGGGTTCCTAGGCGGCAGGAAGTTACTTACTGGTCTCTCCCGTGAGGGCCTAGGCCTGGAGAGTGGCTGGGGCCACGGGGCAGCAGGTGGGGGTACCGATGAGAGCCAAGGGCAGCTTGGCCAGGCCCAGGCAGGGAGACAGCAGGCTGGGTTCAGCCTAGCGTTTCCTCCCAGAGGCCCAAAGCGTGGGTGGGTGGGGCGCGGTGGGCGGGGTCCTCACAGCTGGTGGCGTTAGAAACCTCCCGAGCCACGGTGGGAGAGGGGCAGTCTAGAGAAATTGGCAGTGGGCCTGGGGCAGGGAGGGGGAGAAAGGGGCCTCGCGTTCCCTGAACGGCGGTGCTGGCTGCCCTGGCACGTAGTTCACTTCTGCAAGCACAGGCTGTCGTGAGCACGTCACCCGGGCTGCCAGGTTAACCGCCAGCCCAGGGCCTGTCCCGCTCCGGCTGACCCCCAGGCTCAAGGACAGCACGGCCGCGCCCCGGGTCCCCAGCCGCCCAGGGAGCGCCCTGTCCCTCCCACGGAAGCTGCCCCGCCCCACCCGTGACCTCCCTCCCGCCTGGGCCGCGCCGACTCCCCGAACTCAGAGAGGGAAGAGCGTGGAGGGGGCTAGCGGTCTGCGGCTGTAGGCGCGGGCACCTGGGAAACCCGCAGCGCGGGGGTGCGGTGCGAGCGTATACCGCCCCTAGGCGAGGCCGGCAGCCCAGCTCCTAGCCAGAGCGGACACGCCTCCTCGTCCGCGCCCCTCGCGGGAGGGGCTGGAGGGACAAAAGGGCATCTTCCAGAGCGCTCCTCCCCACGCCAGGGCTCAAGGTTATCATCACACAAAAAGCTCTGGTAGGAAAAGGCCCGGCCGGGTCATCGGGGCAGAGGGTACTGGTAGCAGCCCCGCGGGGCGACACCCCGACCCGCCGCCCGCGGACGTCGTGCGTCAGCGTGCTCAGCGCCCAGCTCCAACTTCCGCCCCTCCTCCCACCGCCAAGGGGGCACGCCCATTGGCGCGCGCGGGCCCGGCAGCCCAGTAGGCCCTTCCATCGTCCCGGATTGGCCCGGCCGTGCACTCACCAACCAATGGGGCCCTCCCCTGCCCTCGACCACGCCTCCCCCCTATGCGCGGGCGCGCGACCGCATCGTCCCGCCGGTGCGCGCCCCAGGCTCCCCGCCCCCTTTGCGCGCGCTGCTCCCCGCGGCCGCCGCTGCCTGTAACCTGCACCGCCAGGATGTGGCTGGGGGCTGACGTCGGGTCCAGATGTGGCCCCGGCCCCGCCCACCCCCGGGGCCGGGCCGCCCACACCGAGCCGCGGCGCGCACGGCAGCTGTCCCGCCTGCCACAATGCGCGGCGAAGCTGTGGCCACGACTTAGCGCGGTCGTCCCTAACGTCGCCGCTCGGCATCCTTAGGACAGGCCGCCCCTGACGCCGCGCGGGGAACCCACTGGCCTGTGCCCCCCCCATGCGTTCACTCTTCGGTGCCCGGCCGGGCCGGCGCCTCACGGACGCGGAGCCGCGCGGGTGACGGCAGAGGCGGCTGCGCGCCCAGCCCAGCCCAGCCCAGCCCGAGGAGAGGGCGCGCCGCGCCCCCGCCCCCCGCCCGCTCGCCGGAGACCGTGGGTGCGGATGCGCCGCTGACGACTCGCCACGACAAGCAGTGCCGCCGGCCCGCCGGCCGGAGCCCGCAGCATGGCAGCCGCCGCCTATGTGGACCACTTCGCCGCCGAGTGCCTCGTGTCCATGTCAAGCCGCGCGGTCGTGCACGGGCCGCGGGAGGGGCCGGAGTCTCGGCCCGAGGGCGCGGCCGTCGCCGCTACCCCCACGCTGCCCCGCGTCGAGGAGCGCCGCGACGGCAAGGACAGCGCTTCGCTCTTCGTGGTGGCGCGGATCCTAGCGGACCTCAACCAGCAAGCGCCGGCGCCCGCCCCGGGGGAGCGCAGGGAGGGCGCCGCGGCCCGCAAGGCTAGGACCCCCTGCCGCCTGCCGCCCGCGCCGCCGCCGGCCCCCGAGTCCGCCTCCCCCGGCGGCGGAGGCACTGCGGCCGCGCCCCCCAGCCCGGCGTGGAGCGAGCCTGAGCCCGAGGTGGGGTTGGAGCCGGAGCGGGAGCCGGGGCCCGCGGGGAGCGGCGAGCCCGGCCTCAGACAAAGGGGTCGGCGGAGCCGAAGCCGTGCCGACCTCGAGTCCCCGCAGAGAAAGCACAAGTGCCACTACGCGGGCTGTGAGAAAGTTTACGGGAAATCCTCGCACCTCAAGGCGCACCTGAGAACTCACACAGGTCAGTGGTGCGGCGCGGGCGCCAGAGCGCGCGGACGGGGCCGGCGTGAGCTGCCCGGCCACGGCCCCGGAGCCGCCGGCCGGGCGCGGGGCACAGGCGGTCGGAGGATGGTCGGGGCCTCGCCCTTTCCCCCGCCGCTCCGTCTACAGCTGCCCCGCGCTAGGCGTGAGGCGAGTCCGGGCTCTCAGAGCCGGCGCCCGCTCGGCGACCGCGCCCCCGCCGGGCACGCCCCCTCCCCGCGCGCGCTCGGGCGGGGCCGCGAGGGCGGATGTCGTCATCTGGGCCGGGGGCGGGGACCCAGCCCAGACCCGGGGGCGGCGCGGGCAGGTGCGGGCGGTGTGGGTGGGGACCGCAGGCGTCGCTGGTGACGGTGGGGCGCCAGGAGCCAGGGGGTTGGGTGGGTGTCTTCTCCCGAGTCCCTCCTCCTCCCCTCCCCCGCCGACTGGCCGCGCGCTCGGGAGGGGAGGGGCCGGCCCAGGCTCGCGGCGGGCGAAGTTCACGCGGGGACAGGACTCCTTTTAGCCACTCGGCACATTCTTCGCTCTCTTCTTCCTGTAATTTTTCCAGCGCACTAAGGTTTAATTTGTAGCCAGAGCCAGCCACCGCGCTGGGCGACGTGGGGGGCGGTCCCGGGTCCCAGTGCCCTGCCCGCGGCTCTTTGTGGGAGCCCCCGCCCATCCGGCCGGCGGGGGCGCGCCCTGCCCGAGGGGCTCTTCGTCTGGCGGCGTTTTCTCCAGAAAGGAGCGCCCTGCCCGCTGCCGGGCGAGACCGGGGCCCTCTTCCCAGCCCGGCTCTCACCTGCCCTGGGGCCGGATGCGGGCAGGCTGCACCTGCACGGGGGCGGGCCGCCTGAGCCCCGAGCCTGGAGGGTGCTGACCGCCGCCCGCCCCCACCAACCCCGGAGTAGTACTTCCCATCGCGCGGGCCCGGATCTTTGTAGTTGATTCATCTATGGCAGTTTTTTTTTTCTTTTTAAAATTTCAACACAAACACTTTAATGGATGGCAATTACCCTCTCCCAGTTTGCTTTAAAAAGTCGTCTGTTTCTCTTAGCTCGCGTAAACTCTTCTGTGACACTTAACTCTTCCACCTTTGGGGCAGGTTGGAAACCCATATATATAGTTAATACTGCTACCATGTTCCCAAGGGTTGCGTTTTTCTCATTTGTAACTTAGCTCAGATGCTGCTTAAAAGACATAAAAAGAAACTACAGCCTTCCATACCCTAGAGCTGAAGGCCCTTTTCTCCTGTACATTTGGAACTGAGCGGGCCCGAGGTCGCAGGTGAGGCGGGCGGATCTCGGACTAACTTTCTGCCTCCTGGTTCCTGGCCCCTTGCGGTGGCCACCCCAAACTACGTGGCAGGTGATGGGGTAGAGGGTGAAAGCGAGGCCATTTCCAGGCAATCTGGGTCAATTAAGGGTGCGTGGGCTGGGAGAGAGGTGAGGTTAGTGTAAGGCTCGGAGTTCGGCTTGGGAACGCAGCCTCCTGGGTGGGTGTGGCCGTGGGGGAGGGGCCAAGCTAGGTTCCCAGTCTGGCGGACCCTGCGTATAGGGTGGGGGCAGCGCTTGGGGCGTGGCTGGGGCTGAGATCCTTTTTGGAGGGCGAGGCTCCTGCTAGGCTGGGAACTTAATGATTGGGAAACCTGCGGGCGGTCTCAAGGGGGCCTCCCACCCAGGAACACCTGATAGCTGGCTTTGAGAATTGCGGAGAGGCTGGACTGGGGGAGGGACTCGCTGTCATGGGCGGGACCGGCTGAGCCCCGGCCTCAGCCCTGGGATGTTTTCTTGGTGGGCTTGCTCCCTCAGTCAGGCTGTGCAGGCCCTGAGCGAGCCCCTTGGCTAGAGAATTGGGGCAGAGGCGCTGGAGACCCGGGCCTCCCGCCACGGGGTTGGGTCCAGTCTCTTTGGAGTGTCTGGAAACTCAAGACAGGCAAAAGAGAATGGAACCGACCCTCTTTGCCGCAGTGTACGTCCGTTCTTAGAGCTGGGAGCCTGCTCCGCCCTTCAGGTGACCAGAGATCAGAGGTGCAACCAGGGTGATTGCAGGCCTCCAAGTCAGGAATGTATGGGGCTCCCTGCGGGGGTGTGTGGGGGGCGATAGGGGCAAGGGTTGGAAAAAATGCAGATTTCCAGGCCTTGGATGCTGACTTACTACAACCAGTTCCAGCCTGCCGCTGGGAACTGCGTTTTAACTGGTACCCCAGGTGAATCTAATTGTAAGAATTGCACATCCCAAAAACCTGCCCCTGGAGGGAGTCTGGTTCAGCAGCTGGTGGAGGACACCTCTGGGGAGCCCATTTCCAGTCCCTGCCGGGGTGTGCAGAGCCTAAGTCACTGATGGTGTTCATAGGGAAGAAGGGATAAGCTGGCCAGGGTGACTGAGAGGCTTGGCTACACTAGGATAGCTTCACTGCAGACAGGTTCAGAAGTGGGTGTGGTTTGGCCTGTGGGCCTCCAGAAGTGTTCCAGGAGTCTCTGCAGGCAGTGACTGAGGTCATGCCAGGCCCTCTACTCCAGTAAGACCCCTCTTCCCAGGACCCATAGTGATTTCATGGCAGAGTGAATTTCAAAACCACTTTAGCCAAGAAGGTAGCCAGGAGCTCTGTGCTGTTTAGGTCTGTGGCGAGGGATGGATTCCCAGACCTCCTTGGAGATGTCTGCCCTGACCACCTGGAAAGTCTTCAGGGAAATGAATTCATGTATGTGAAGACCCTTTGGAAGGTGCAAGGGTCAGCCTTGACTCTGGGGGCACCAGGCATCCCTTGGCCATGGCCCTGCTCTGGTCTCCCACCCCAGCCCCCCCGTACCCCCCCAACAGCTACTTGCAGAGAGCGTCCAGTCATGGTTAGCTGTGTGGTCTCCCACTCCCCCAGTAGTCATACTGCGGACAGGTTACCTTCTGTCACAGTTAGGTAATTGTTGATGTTATGGCAAATGCACAGTAAAACGAAACAAAAGAAAACATCTTTACAGTTCAAGCCACTTCTTGTTTGGCTGATCAGAACTTCCCAGCCCAGGCCTAGGAAGTTTGCTAAGACTAGCTTTGCAGAGCAGCAACACCAGAAGCAGATTTTCTTGGAGGCTCAGAGGCTTTGGTGTGAAAATTTGAGGACCTGGAGAAGGAAAGGCTGGGCTGGGGCCCTCCTGAGGGCAGCCGAGTTCCCTGACCCTGCCACGTCATACATCCAGAGATTCCTGTTTGCTATCCCAAGTGGTGGGGTTGGGCAGGCCCAGCTGCCTGGGAAAGGCAGCCTGTCAGAGTGGAGGGTGACTGGGTGGGAATTCCTTTGTCTAGGGCAAAGCCAGGCTCGTTGATGGCCGTCATGGCCAGCACTTTGTTCAGGGACGTGCCCAAGCCAGGGCTTTCCCCCATCACCCAGGCTGCAGTGGCCCTAGTTGTGAAACTCTTCAACAGTGCAGAAGTGTGTGCTCAGAATATGCAAGCCTCTCCCCCGACCTCTGGCTAACCACCATTACCCTATGTTGGTGCGTCTCTTTCCAGACTTTCTAAATGGATTTGCACATATACATACATGTGCATCCATGTAGACGTTTTTAAAAAATCCATAAGTAGGATCCTAGCAAACATATTCTTTTGCTAGGCTTTTGTTCTGTGTGTTTGCCTAAACAGGCATCTTCATTCTTTTTCATGGCTGTATGGTGTTCCAAAGCGTGGTTATATGGCTACACCATAATTTACTTAACCTTTCATCCATTGAAAGGACAGCCATGTTGCCTTTTTTGTTTCTTGCTCTAACAAGCCTTGCATTAGTGGACTCCAGTGCGTGTCTGCCTTGGCACAGAGGAGCTGACTTTTCTGTAGGATTAAGACCTGGTTGTGGTATCGACGGGGTTGATGAGTATTAGTTAAATCCCACATGGCATTACTATATTGACTTAAAAGACATTATGTTTTTAAAGGAAATGGACTGCAGTTCTTGGTTTCCCCTGTGCTGAGGGAGGGACCTGTTATGTCACCACCCTACCTTTTTGAAAATTTTTACTTCTCGCAGTTCTCCTTTTGCATGTGTGAGATCTTTGAGAACATTTAAAACAACACCAGCAAAACCACTATCATCCCCGCGCTCCTTGTGGCCGGCTCTCCTTTAGTTCTGGTTTTCCAGAGACTGGGGAGTGCCTGGTGAGCGCCCAGCCCCTGCAACCGCTAGGCGGGGGCTGCTGTGGTGCCATCTCCCCCTCCCTCCCTGCTGAAAGAGGGCTAGAAGTTGTCCTGGTGAGCAGGCTGATAGTACCATGGACCACAGGTCATTTAATCAGTAGCCCCATGTGTGGGGCTTAAACTCTCTGGAACACAGCAGAGGTAGGGCTAGATCCTTCCAGGCAGGTGTGGAGAAGCCCATGCCTTAAGGTGAGCTTCTGACAGCCCCTCATGCCTGTTGGATCCTGTTTGCTCCCACTTTGCACATAGCTTTTAATCCAGTTGGTTATTTGGTTCCTCGACTTAGCAAACCAAAAGGGGAAGGAGAAATACATAGATAGTAGCTGAAGGCAAGGGAGGAGACAAACCAGCAAGTTGTGGGCATATGCACGTGTATGTATGTATGTTTAAGTGTAAAATTGAAGAAACCCCACACAGTTGAACAGTACTGCAACAAATGGGCATTTGTTCATGGAGGGACATGTCATTCCCCAGTGGTCCCTGAGGCCTGCCCGAGAGACCTGTGATAACTAACATACATAACAGTCATCTTGCGATATTAGGGCATTGTAAAGTGTGTCTGGTTTGCACTTTAAGAAGGCAGTTGAAATAGTTTTAAAAATAAAAACTCCTAGAATGGTATGCTCAGCTCTCATAATCCTGTCTTAAGACTTCTAGACTGCTTGCCAGGGGGCAGATATTGTTCTGTTTGCATTATTTTATATCACATTATTTAATCTTTGCAAGGACTCTATGAAATGGACACTATTATTATTACTAATTTTCAAATAAGGAAACGAAGGCTCAGATGAATTAAGAAACATGCCCAAGGTTACACCA